TAATTTGCAATTCCTGCTTCGCAATACCACTTAATATTGAACATGGCTCTTAGAATTAGACCAAAACTGGCTAAAAATTGGGATAAAATTTGATACCTTTTTTCAAAGACGTATTTGAGAACTAATTTCAAAACCAGAATGATGTATTTCATCACCAGATGAATCACAGCCGAGTTTCAATTTCACATGACATCGACTAAGAGCAAAAGGGCGAAACGTAAGTACTGAGAAACTTCTGGAATAATGTAATCGAAAATAATGACTAAATTCGTTTCCTTTCTCTCACCTTGCTTTATTTCATCAACAAGCTTCGATACGAACACAAATAAACAGCAGTTAGAAAATGTTTTAATAAGTAGGGGCAGATTATTGTCATTAAAAATTTACCTCGTTGCTTAGCGATAGCGGCGCGTATATTTTAATTTACAAAATCATATCATTTTTAATTAAAATATTTCTTTTAGAATAGAAAAACAAATTAAATTGTCCAAAACCACGCAGTATATCCGTCAACTTAATTGCCCTTCACGCGTTGCCTTTAAATTAGGCATAAAACTCAATTTAACTTAAGATATCAGATTTGCGTGTTTTATAATGTGTGAAGTGTAATTTCGCAAGAAAAATAGTATTCGCACTTATATTCTGCAGCTTTTGCAAAGCCTAATTATTTCCATTCATTTCTTTTTGGTTTTATCAAAAAGAGATTTTTTAGCTGAATTTTTCACAATTCGTCGGCTCTTCAGGATTCACCCCTTGTTGATAGGTGTAAATGCACTTTACCTTTCATTGGTTATGCAAATAGTATTTAAGGCGTGTTACTAGGAACAAAAGGGTTTTTTGCTTCATGCAAACCGGAGCGTCAAAGTTTAAGGACATGCATCGGCAAATCGGACACGGTATAAAGTACACACGTAAAAACGCACGAGTTGTAACAAGCCTGCAGCAAGCTTGTCGCAAGCTCGTTTCAACAAGCTTGTTGCAAGATTTATTCGCACCGCTTGTCCCAAGTTGTTGTGACGGACGTGTAGCAAGTTGTTGTCAGACTTGTAGCAAGTTTGTTGTGACAATGCTGTACCAAGGTTGTTGCCAACAAGCTTGCTACAAGTCTGACAACAACTTGCTACAAGCTTGTTGAACTTGAGCTGTTCCAAGCTTGTTATAACAAGGCCGTTACAAGCTTGTCGCGACAAGCTTGCTGCAAACATGGCCGCGCATTAAATCTCGCTTTAAAACACGCGTGTTTTCCCGGAGATTGTGAAACAAAGAACAAACAATACAAAGTTTGATGTAAAGATCATATTATTTTAAAAACAAATTCAAAGGTTAGCAATTAAATACAAACTTCACATTTGAAGTACCAAGATTACTAAAGGCTCAGTACAAGAACATATGTATTTTCCTTTCTGAGTATATAGCCTAATAATCAGTTCGTAAGAAAAGTTTCTTTGCATTCATATGGTAAAAATTAACTGGTGCATGAATATTCTTGTATAGTATTCTTGTACCAGTATTTCAGTCACTTGTTGAATTGACTTCGTCATCCCAAGAATCAACAGCTAGCTGCACCTCTTTCCTATAATTCACTTTGTTTGATACGACTTTCCGGCCAATACCTCAGTTCTCAGTTTAGCTCCAGTTTGATAATCAAATTCCTATAAAGTATAATATACAATGGCTTCAGGAATCAGTTACTTTAAAAAATATGCAAATATTTTTGAGGAAACTGGTTTGCAAATACGTTGAGGAAACTCCATCCTGTCTGCTGTGGCGAGGGTCTTGCTTGCCATCCAAGTCCTGATCCAAGTCTAATGTCAAATAAGTAATGTACAAATACTTTATTACCATAATACGTAAATATATATTATTATTTCTAATCAGAGCATGCTAAAAACATACGCACAGATATTAAAAATTTTGCACTTTACCGCACACCTACTCGTCATTAAAAATATTTGAATTATTGAATACAAAAAACCGGCAAAGTTTCGATTTTGATAAATATCCACAGAAACTAACAGTTCAATGTTTATAAAAAGCAATAAATTCAACAAATATTTTAAAAACTATATAGTTTTAAAAGGCTAGCTTGTGTACTATAATAAATTGTGTTGCCAGCGTTGTGTACGCCATATCAAATATTTGGATGAATTACACGCACATACCTTTATTAAAACGTCGAACTGTAGTATTCTTCAAACTTTTTTAAGTTGCCCATCCGTTTTAACTGATATTTCAACGTTTATTAAACTTTTAAAGGCTTAAAAAATCAAATGTTTTGGCACAAAGATAGCTCAATGACCAGGTGAATCAGTGAACTCTTGAAAAGAGCAGGGAAATTTGCAAATATACTGACGTATATTTCAACCAATAAGATCACTTATACATAGTTTAAACAGAGTCTGAACCAATGAGATTACTCCGTTGAAATCGTCACTTCCTCAACGGTTCAACGGTTATAGATATCCTTGAAACAAGGAAATGTTCATCTGTAGTGTTTTCAAGGAATTCGGATTCTTTTCAAATCTTATTACTAAAAGAAGTTATGAACTTCGTTGCAGAGTGTTAAAGTGTTTAAAAGCTCGTTGATCTTGCTTTTGCCATTTGATGAATGGCAATGATCAATAAAATCATATTTGGCCCTGTTCAAATTGATTTTGTTGTTATCGGAAAACTTTTGCCGTTAACAATGTTGCTACAACTTGTTGGAACTGTCTTGTTACAGCATTGCCACGCGCAGCCTTCGTACAAGCTTGTTGTGACAGGCTTGTTACAACTTGATGACCATAACAACTTGTCAACAAGTTGCTCTAACAAGCTTGGTACAGCTTGTTGTCGACAAGCTTGGAACAAGTTGTTCCAACAACTTGCTACAAGTCTGCAAGCCAACAAGTTTTAGCAAGCTTGATGTCAACAAGCTTGCTACAACCTGTTGTCTCAACAAGCTTGTTACAACTTGTCAACAAGCTTGCTACAAGCTTGTTGAGCCAACAAGTTGTCAACAAGATGTGAGATTTTTAGGTGTGTAGAACTAGGAGACACGTGATTTATAAATGCATGCACTTATTTGGTCGACTTTGTTCTGTACTGTTTACGTCATTTGTTTATAGTTTTGAACCGTATCAACGTAGCTTCGTTCAACGTATGAACGTTATCGAGGCGTGTATGAAGCCTGTTGAATAAAATATCATATGTAAACCGGGAGTTTTAACAGTTTTTTCTATGCACATACGCGTGTCAACATCACTGTCTTTGAACCAGCGACAAGCGTAGTTTACGGACGTGTGCTGTAATAATAGGGGGAATCACGAAATTTATTCCCGAAAAGTTTCCTCAAGGTTTATGAATTAGGTCTGATCGTCTGCTTGAGGTGTGCCTCTGAACTTTTTTTCTGTCAAATTTGTTGTAATTTGTATTCCAGTGTGGAAATACGGAAAGGTGTATAATCCCGATGTGGAAATAAGGAATGGAGAGGGATAGAAGCTTAGAAGTGAAATGAATTATAAAATGATAACCAAGAGAGAGATGAAAGAACAGAGAAGGTTGGGGAACAAAGACGGATAAGAAGTCCGTCAAAGCAATCAAAAGTCGCCTGAATGAAACATTCATAATTTTTTGAACAATTTCCATTCACGACAGGATACGCCGAGTGTTTATATTAGTGATGATGAAACGCATAGCTATGAAATATTATTGTCAGTAGGATAGTTGCCGCACTATCTAATGACCCGTTTTTGAGGCATTTCTATGTACCGGACCTATTGTTAATTTGGACTACTTGAAGACTCTCGCGTTTCCCTCATTTAAAAACTACATGTGCATGTTATTATTTTTTGTGCCAGCGTGAAGTCTGTACTGTAAAATATCAGGCCGAGGCTTTTTACCCCATGCAAAAATCTAGTCTTCCAATCAGAATAAAGGATTCTGCTGTGGTGCATTCGCAAACGCGTCGTTGACTTTGCTTAACTCCAGAATTCCGTCCGTCATTTCTCTTTTTACTCTTCACCTTTTGGCAGGTGCTTTTGACATAATTATGAAATTCTACCTTTCATTTATCGCTATTCCCTACTCATATGTTAAAATATAGAAGTTAGCGAGAAAAGTCGATATTTTTTAACGGATAAAGTGATACAAGTATTTTTACACTAATTCGTTTGCTCCATTCAACGAAAGTAAGATAACCAAAATAGCGTATAAGAATTCCCCTAGGCCTTGTCTAAACTTGTTATATATAAACCTTGCAGTCTCTGCGTTAGCTGCTATGTAGCGCACTTATATATGTTGCCAAGAGAAAAAAAAATTATGCGCTTGTTTTACTTAAGGCGCTGTTACACGTGCGTTTTTTACGTGCAACTAGACGTTAGTAAAAAGGTTGCTCGTATTGCAAATGTCCATGCCACACAACAAGTTTTCCACGCAACTTGGGTGGTAAAAAAATGTCACAAGTTGCAAATGCCAGTCGAGAAAAACAAAAATCTGTTCAATATGGCGCCCGACAATGAGCGCAAGAAAAAAGCAGTAGCGATTTTCCTGTTAATGACGGATTTTTTCGACGAAAAACCAAAACGAAAACGACGCAAAAAAGTTTGGGTGAGACCATGGATTTCCAGAAGAGAAGAGAGAGGATGTTTTCATCAGGTATGTGGGTAATTTGTACAAATTTCTCGGCTTTTAGCCATCACTTCTAGATATAAATAATTTCGGTCTTTTTTTGGTTTAGTTGATCCCTGAGCTTGAACTGGAAGACGAGGCGTCATATTCTAATTATTTTCGGATGAAAAAGGAACGCTTTGGTTTCCTTGTTGACCTTGTTGAAAGCAGGATTCGCAAATGTGATACTCAGTAGCGTAGCCAGCCTGTCGATTTGTCCCGCTATGCTAATATCTTAGTGTTCACTGACTGTGAAAACAATAGATTTCTAAAGAAATGAATAATTATAATAACTCTAAATTTACATAGCGGGACAAAGTCGTCAGGCTGGCTACGCCACTGGTGATACTTACATGAGGCCAAGTATTAAACCTAATGAACGACTAGCCGTCACCCTACGTTATCTTGCAATGGGAGAGTCGTTTAAGTCTCTGGAGTTCCAATTTAGAATTAGCAGGACGGCAATTTCTGATATTGTTGTGGAAACGTGCCAAGCAATCTTTGATGTGTTGTCTTCCTGGATCTTAAAGATGCCATGTACAAATGAAGCTTGGTTGCAGCTGGCAAGTGTGTTTGAGCAACGATGGAACTTTCCTAATGGCATAGGGGCTGTTGATGGCAAGCGTATAAATATCCAACAACCTGGAAACAGTGGATCTCACTATTACGATTATAAAGGCCACAATAACCTGATTTTGTTGGCAGCAGTTGGTCCACAATATGAAATATTGTGGGCTGATGTTGGTACTAATGGCAGGGCATCTGATGGAACTGTATGGCAGAAATGTGGACTGAAACATGCAATGACAGCAGAGCACAACCCTTTGAATCTTCCTAAGCCCAAATTAAGCCCTTCCTGGTAGAACTAAGCAAGTTCCCTTTGTTTTTACCAGGGATGATGCCTTTGCCCTTACCACCTATATGATGAAGCCTTACCCTCAAGCTGGCCTCACCACTGAACGACGGATTTTCAATTATCGTTTGTCCCGAAATAGAAGAATTTCCGAAAACGCCTTTGGAATACTAGCAAGTCGTTGGCGTATTCTTAGATCAGTCATCTATCTTTGCCCTGAGAAAGTAACACAGGTTGTTCTGGCAATTATAACTTTGCACAACTTCCTTTTAAAAGATGGTGAAAGTTAAAAAAACTATGCTCCAGATCAGTTTGTTGATTCTGAGGATCAAAGTACTGGTGAAGTCACCCCTGGTTTGTGGCGCGATTACCCTGTTTGCCACTCAACCTAGACAACTTTCAATCCAAATTGTAGCAACAATTACAGCAATGATGCCAAAGCAATCAGAGAAGAGTACAAAGAATACTTCAACAATGAAGGGGCATTAAGTTGGCAGTGGGTTCAGTGTGGTATTGATTAACATTCTGATTCTAATGAAATAAACTAACATTGAATAATGAAGTTTAATTGTTATTGATGCTGGAAGTGCAGCATTTTTGGTACAGACTAATACCATTATTAGCCCACCACATTTTATTGATTAAAATCAATTGTTAGTGAAATGTTGTTTCAGGTTAAGAAATAATTGTATATTCACTTGTCCTGAGGTATTTTATCTGATCTATTCTTCTGTTGTATGATTCTGAGTTTTGTTAGCCCTATATTTTGTAAAATTTGCAGGTATTTTTTATCCTAATATAACTGTAGGGCCTCTCATATCAGGGGAAGGGGCAAAGGATGCCAAAATAATTTTTCACAAGTCAGCCAAAAAATTTGTAACAATGCTTAACAATTTTTAATACTATTTGCATTAATACAAAGAGTATACAATTATATTACAACATGAAAACTTTATATTGTAATATATCTGTAAATTTTATTTAAATTGAATTTTAAACATTCAACATTTATAAATCAAACTGTATTAAAATTACATTGCAATTTCATTATTATAAAATTAAATTCACTCAATGTACAAATAAATGAATAATTTAAAATGTGCCATAGAAGAACAACATGTATTGTAGAAACATTGTAAAATAAGTTATTGTATTGTAACAAAATGAATTAAAGCGTCTTTTCACATTGGTTGTAAATGTGGATAGTTCTGACCTGTGACAACATATTGTATGGGTGGTTGAGTAAGTGTGGCTGAAAGGCTATTGCCTGTACAGCCTTTAAAAGCACCCATCTCAAGCTCAAACAAGACATCATTAATTTTTTTCTTAGCAATAGCTTTCTCAGGGACTGTGAAGCAAGATAGTGTGTCTGCCACTATCTTACCAAAGGTTTCCTCTTCAGATAATGCTTCATTGCTTGGCTTCAAGGCTTCTATACACGATTTGTACAGCTCTGCTTTTCTGTCTTCTTCTATGTTATTTGATTTTCTCTTTTGCTTGTGTGGAGTGGGTAAAACCTCTGTTTCATCAGCCCAGGTGGTTTGTGAGACGTCAACATTGTCAGCCAATGCGACAAACGACATTGATGTAAAAAATTTCCACTTTGTCTTGTAGACCTCGGATGTCGCACTACCAGACTTTTTGCTGCCCTCTTGCCTTTTCTGCTCTCTCTGATAGAGCGTCTGTAGAGTATGCCACTGTTTCTTTATTTCTTCCTCATTTTGGTTGCCAAGGGTTTCTTTGATGTTTTCCATTGCTAGTTTTCTTAGGTTTCTGTCTCTGTAGTCTTTCGAATGGTGGTCCCAGAGAACAGGATGGTTTTCGTAGAGCTCAGTAAGTGTGTTGATTTCCTCTTCGCTCCACTCTTTCACGGCTTCTTGGGTTAAACTACGGACAACATCCTCTTTCATAAACGTCATACGGTTAAAAAATTTCCAGCTGCTTTCAAATTTTTCGTCTTCGATACCTCGTCGCACCTCTCGTACAAAAGACGACTTCAGAGAATGAAGGTTTTTCTTCAGAGTTTCTTCTGTCAATGAATATTTCAATGTCAATTCACTTATTGCCGTAGTTTTTTCTTCTCGAGGGACTGCTTTACTCGTCGACCAGAGGGATTGATAGCTCTCCCAGTCAGATATTAAAGACAACTTTTCAGCATCTTTAGGTTTCCGATTAAATATTAAAGTGTGAATCTCATTGTTGTTCTCTTCGGCATCCGCCGCCATTTTTTAAAAATTTCAGCCGCAAAATTTGGCAACACAGGTCGCTCTACCATGTCACACGTAATTTTGTCCTTGCAATCGGTAGAAATATGTTGCCAAAGTAGAGAGCAAACCAACTTTTCGTGCAACTTGGAAAGCTTAAAAATCAGTTGCGAGAGGGGTTGTCACACACCACAAAATACGTTTGCAACTAAAAGTTTGCTTTTTTGCGATGCAGGTTGCACGTAAAAAACGCACGTGTAACAGCGCCTTTAGCATCAAAGTATTATTCAGAAAATGCGTGTTAAATCTCAAAAAAAATTTTTATTTTAAAAATTATTTCACAGACAATATAAGAAATAGAATACTGCGCGTACATGCGTGGAAGAAATGAGGAAAATACTATTAATATAATTATTTCAATTATATAGGCCTTTATTTGGTGTATAATCAACGACTTTTCCTTTAATTTAATAATAGTCGCTACTCGCTATATTATAAATTATTCGACTGAAAAAATTACAACTTGTATAAAGACTAAATAAAATGGCATTAGGAGCGGTGCCTTCTACCCCAGGGTTTAAAGAAACCTCTTTCAATGTCAGCTAATCTACAACCGATTGAAGAGTTAAAACCAAAATTTACAAATAATAACTTTTGAAATAAAGTTGTTCAAATATAGCGACTGAAGTCGTTTTGTTTCTTTTGTCAAGCTTTATTGCATCGACGAGACGAGCACGAACAGCGTCGACAATGTGAAACAATTCAACCAAAGTGTTTTAATATCTACCGCGGCAAAGTATTGTAATTTATAATGTTATTATTACAAATGTTACAAAATTACATCAATATCAATTAATATACACGTTTTTGAAGTATGAACACTCTGAGAAGTAATTAATTTTTTGGAAAATTTATGCAGTATATATCCGGCAACATAATTGCTATACAGGGTGTATAAAAAAAAAGTAGACAATTTTGAAATGTTTAGAAAACTATAAATTTATCAAAATATCTCATAGATTTGTGCTAGTATGGGTACTTTGGCATCTTCAGGTCATTCTAACACTAAAAACAAACAGAAAAATTAACCTCGAAAAATGGAAGAGCGGTTTGTGGAAGCATCATTTTGAAGGGCTTGTGCAAACATGAATGAGAGGTTTAAAATCCAATTTGAATTCAAGAGCTGAACGTTTGGGTATTTGTTTACAAAGAATCGAAATTTCAGAAATTTTGATGAAAATTAAGTCAGCCGCGCAAATGCGTAAACGTGGGCTTTTTTCCGTTTAACTCGCAGCTTGAGTAACTTTTTTCATGCACGAATGATTTCATGCATGAGTGATTGCTCGGGTGATTAAACTAACAATGGTGTTGTGAAAAAAGTTACTCAAGCTGCGAGTTAATTTTTATCAAAATTTCTGAAATTTCGATTCTTTGTAAACAAATACCCAAGCGTTCAGCCCTTGAATTCAAATTGGATTTTAAACCTCTCATTCATTTTTGCACAAGCCATTCAAAATGATGCTTCCAGAAACCGCTCTTCCATTTTTCGAGGTTAATTTTTCTGTTTGTTTTTAGTGTTAGAATGACCTGAAGATGCCAAAGTACCCATACTAGCACAAATCTATGAGATATTTTGATAAATTTATAGTTTTCTAAACATTTCAAAATTATCTACTTTTTTTTATACACCCTGTAGAATAACCATGAACGTCAATCCGACGTTAATTGAGGAGGACGATATTCATATAGATCTGTTAGGCCAGGCTGATTTACTTCTAGCGAATGTGAAATTGTTTTCAAAAGAAACTAGCCAGGCATAGCAGACTATATGAACATGGTCCCCCTCTATTAACAATCCATTGACCACAATGATAATAACTCCCCATATCGTGATCATTGTGAGTACGATCAGTTTCGAAAGTAAAAGTAATTAGTTAGAGCAAAAATAGCTGCAAATTTTATCTATAACGCAAATTGTCGGATATTCATTGTTGCTGATGCGATGAGCAACATCTCACAAACGTGTTAAGTCTTCGCAACATTGATTAGGGGGCAAGGGGACAACTTTGGAGTTAAAGATTATTAAAGGTGATACAAACTTGAGATTGCCAAAGTTTAATCAAAGTAATTCCGAGCAACCAGCAATTTTTGGGCGATTATCCGGTGAATATCGCTGTCCAGTTTTCGTACAACCGGCGTCTTCTCTTTATCTCATATCGACTCATTTATCTGATATAGCACTGATGCATGCACAATTGTCAACCCGCTCATCACTGTGCTGGCGCGTGCAAAAAGGCCAGCAACTGCGCCAATGGACTAACTTCACTTGGAAATTTGTAATTGCACTCGGGTCTTGTGACAGAACATATCGAATGTATATAGTGGTATTCAAAATAGTCCAAATGCTATGTTATCTACGTTCAGGGATTGCGGATGATCCTTAAGGTGGCTCGATGCAGTTTTCAAGAATTCCACTGTTCATCACTTTGACACGTTAAAACAACGCATTTTTGTGATTTATTCCAGAGATATTTGGGTTTTTATATATTTTGATGTTTCTACTTTTGAATCGTATTAGTTTTAGTAACAGATCGTCCGTTGCTATGGCGACATACGTGTACAAAATTCACTCCAAAATGACCAATTGCCTCGGATAGTTGGAAAAAAAGCACGGTGACCCCCAACTTTTTTTCGTCCATTGTTTTACTTGGAAGAAAAACTAACAATTAGCAAAATGTAAAAAAATTCTATAATGGCAAAAGAAAAATTATCAAAAAAATGTCATTTTTACATTTTTCAAAAATTG